AGGGCTATAAAACTGTGCATACCCATTAACCCAGCAAACCTGCTATTAGGCATGTATTCCAAAATGATCAAAAAAAAAAGGACCTATTTGAACAAAAATATTTATAGCAGCTCTTTTTGTGGTGACAAAGAATTAGAAATGGAAGAGATGACCATCAGGTGGGGAAAGACTAAACAAGTTGTGCTATGTGATTGTGATGGCATACCATTGTGCTATAAGAGACGATGAGCAGGTTGGTTTCAGAAAAACCTGGAAAGACTTACATGAACTGATGAAAAGTGAAGTGAGCAGAACCAGGAGGCCATTGTACAAGTAACATCAATATGATAAGGATGATCAACTGTGAAAGATTAACTACTTGGGGGCAGCTAAATGGTGCAGTGAATAGAGCACTGGCTCTGGATTCAGGAAGACCCAAGTTCAAATCTGGACTCAGACACTTGACACTTCCTAGCTGTGTGACCCTGGGTAAGTCACTTCACCCCACTGCCTTGTAGGAAAAAAAAAAGATTTAGCTATTCTAATCAAGATGATGATCTAAGACAATTCCGAAAGACCCATGATAAAAAATGCTATCCGCCTCCAGAAAGAGAACTGATGAACTCTGAATGCAGATTGAAGTATACTTTTTAAACTTTCTCTTTCTTATTTATGTATGTGTGTGTTTGCAACATGGCTAATATGGAAATATGTTTTGTATGACCTCAGATGTATACTCAAAATCAAATTACTTGCCTATTCAGTGAGGAAGGAGGGGCAAGAGGGAAGAAGAGAATTTGGAACTCAAAAATTTTTAAATGATTGTTTAAAAAGTTTTTACATGTAATTAGGAAATATATAATGAAATAAAAATTAAAAATTATTTTTATTTTTTAAAAAGATAGCATTTTCATGGTGACAGCCTCAATAAGAGTGAGTCATCTGTGTGACAGGTGATCCTGGGATCATAAGAGAAATGGTTTCCAGAAAAAGGCATCAGAAATATCACTTCAGTGTGTTCTGTTTCCTCCCTCCCATATAGTCTCTGATGCTTTGTGATCAGTTCTGGCCACCCCTGTTTTAGAAGGATATAGACAAGGTAAAGAGTATAGGTAGAAGCCAGATAGGATGGTGAAAGAATCATGCTGCATGAGATGTAGCAGGAACATGGGAGCTAATCTATCTCCAAGTATTTAAAAGGCCATCCTGTAGAAGAAAGATTGGATTTGTTCTGTTTGGGCCCCAGAGGACTTACTTATCTGAACACCAGCTTTTCCTCATCCCCAGTAGAATGAACAGAAGTTCTCTGAGGGCCAACGGGCCAGGCTAAGTCCTTCTCTCCCAATGGAGATTTCCCTGAGTTGCTTCCAGGGTACATAGGCCAGGACAATTAAAACTCAGAGCTCAAGACTGTCATTCCTAGGGCACCTATGACTGACACCAATCTTTAAACCGAGCGCCTAGTCTGGAAGGATCTTGGCAACAATTGAAAGTCACAGTGAAAAAAGAATGTATTTCTGTTATCAGTGAGAGAAGGAATATCTAATGTGGTGATACAGCATCCCAGATGCAAAGCCTTAACTATATTAGGGCAAATGGGGCTTTGCTCAAGGGTGTCACTGAGAGGAGGGTAGTACCTCCCCATGGTGTGCCTGTCACCTGCCATCCTTATGCCAACTGCATTGAACCCCCAAGTCGCTCTGTCTTCTCCTAGACCTACATTCCTTCATTGTCCCTCCTTCCACCTCTTGCCTTTTTTTTTCTTGGCCTCCTCCTTAGTGTTGAAGAGTTACAGTCCAGGAGTCCTCAGCCACGTTGTTGAGGCTGTTGCCAGACAATGGGGTATAGGAATAGACTATCCTTTGAGCTTCCCTGCCCCTTAATTGAATTTGCCAAAAAATAAGGCAGTTCAGTCATGGCTCAGGCCAGGTGCATTGTCTGTATGGTACTCCTCAAGTCAATCACATGTCTGCGCACAGAGCAACGTCCTTGGCCATGTGGAGAAAATGAAGATTCTGCTGATTACGCAGTCAGAGCAATGTTCCTCAAGTGTGACCTAGTACCCCATGACTTTTATTGAAGCCAGCCACAGAATTCTAGAACAATGGTGAATTTAGATGTGCCTTAATCTACCCCCTTCATTTTGTAGATGAGGCAGCTGAAGTCCAGAGAAGGTAATTGAGTTCTTGAAAAACACTTGGTTAGAATCATTGAATCATACATAGCATTTCAGTTCAGGAAAGGATATTGGAGATCTGTTAATCCAACTCTCTCATTGAGCAGATGAGGAAACTGAGGCACTCCCATTGGTGAGTTACTCCTAGAACCTCCATTTTTGAGAAAAGGCTCCCCAGGCCAGCCAACTTTCCTTCCTCTCCTAGCTCTGCTTCTAAATCTCCAGACTTTGCTGCCATACTCATGCCCAGGCATCTCCCTTCTCCACTCCCTCCAAACTTTCAGCTTCCTCCATTGGGATGACAGCTCTTTGAGGACAGGGTCTGTTTTTTTGCTCGTACTTGTATCCCTAGCACTTAGCACAGTGCCTGGCATATAATAAGTGCCTAATAAATGCTTGTTGAATGACTGACTTACTGAAGCTCCAAAAGGACAAATGACTTAGTTGAAGCCTTATAAATGTCTAATCCTAGGCTAAAGTTTAAAAAAAAAATCACCCACACAGTTGCAAGGTTTGGGAGGAATCGCTGAATGTTTAGCAATTTGCAAAACTATCTGAAAGACTGGAAGATATCTTAGTAAACTCCACGGTTAATAAGTGCCAATAGCGTGATACAGCAACCCAGAGGTCTGATGGAGAGTTGGGCTGGATGAAGAGAAGACTAACTTCTAGAAATAAGTATTATGTTCAGTTCTGGGCACCATATTGGAAGAGGAGCATTGAAAAGCTGGAGAGCATCTGGAGAAGGGTAACCAGGGTGGTAAAGGGCCTGCCATATGAGGACCTGCTGAAGGAATTGCGGATATTTAAAAGCTTGTAGAAGAGAAGACTAGGGGATTGGGAGGAAACATGATAGTGCCTTGAATATTTGAAGATCTGCCAAGTATAAGAGGGATTTAACTTGTGTTTGTCTTCAGAGGAGTGATGGGTGGAAACTACAAGGAAGTCAATCTAGATTTGATATCCATAAAACCTGCCTATTAGAGCTGCCCCAAAGCATAGTGGGATGCCTCCAGAGTGGATGGGCTCTCCCTCTCTGGAAGTTCTCAAGCAAAGAAAGTTACCATTACCAATTGTCAGGCAGGTTACAGAGCAAAGTTTTTTGTTTTTTGTTTTTTGGCTAGGCAATGGGGTTAAGTAACTTGCCCAGGGTCACACAGCTAGTAAATGTTATGTGTCTGAGACCGTATTTGAACTCAGGTCCTCCTGAATCCAGGGCCGGTGCTCTATCCACTGCACCACCTAGCTGCCCCCAAAGTATCTTTAAGTACAGGTGGCATGAGATGGCCACTGAAGGTCCAGCTCTGAAATTCTGACTCTATGTAGCTAAATATAGATAAATTTTAGGATAAATTAGAAGTATATAGCAAAAACACACCATGTTTTAATGAAAGAAATTAATATCCACACATTTGCACATCTGTACAACTTTGGGGTGAAATATAATTTTAAGCTGTTTACAAATAACATTTAAAGCTTCAAATATTACATACTATTGATATTACATTTCTAGCAGAAATAAATATATTGCACTTAAAAAGAAACTCCTTAAATGTTACGTCATAGTGTTATGCTTATAATTTATTTTTTTCATAAAACATTTCCCATGCCCTACCCCCCATACACACACTTCATTACATGGTGACGGTTCTCACACAATTAGTTAAATGACAAATGAACACAGCAAACAGCAGAAGGGGGATTACACATTCTCTTGAATGGGCAGCATCCAGTTTTTACCTTTCTGTGAAAATAAATCTTCCTTTAGATTTCTGAGAGTCAGAAGAAAGCTACTTCATTATTCAGGTGTGCTAGAGGTGAAATACAACCAAGTGTATTTCTTGTCCAGATACTAGATAGAATTCAAAGTTACGTCACAAAAAAAAAAGTGTGTTGACTTGGCAACTATCTTTTTAGATAACAGCAACATCTTCCAAAGGAAGGGGTATTGGATGGCAGGGAGGGGAGGGGTGGAGCAGAAAGACACAAAGACCCTCATGGTTTACCTGCCCACCAAGCAAATATATAGGAAGTTTTAGACTTTGAGCATGCTGAAGAAAGACATAAACCTATTTTCTAAGTAATGTGGGATAGCAGAAAGGATTTGTTCTGATGACTCCCTAAAATTTTCTAGGCCCATCATATTGCTAAAGGATTTTCTTTCCTCCAATTTTCTTGGGCTTTGTTTTTTGTACCCTATTCAAGTACACACAAAATCATTGCTTTTCAAAAGAAAAGAAAGAAAGTATCTATTTGTGGTTGATTTTCTCCAGGTAACTCCACTTGAACATGATGGTAATATCTGAAATGATGCCATGGGCTAAGCCTGTGAGTTAAATAGCCTGATGCCTAGGACATTTCTCCAAATGGCTAGGCAAATGGAATGGCTATATTTGACCTCCAAAAAGGAACTCTGATTTCTCTGGCATCTGGACCACATGTAGACAGGGTTGAGAAAGAAGCTACTGAGACCTCCTCATATGGCCTTGCAACTCCCATGGTACAACCCTTTACATAGTCACTTCGATACTACAATGACTTATCCCACAGATATTTTTTAAACTTCTGATCCAATGACCTCCTACTAGGGAGGCTGGCAGGCCACCCATATATCCAACCCTGTCTCTTTCATCCCCCTGTTCAGGGTCCAATAAACTAGCCATGTCAGGATGAGAGCTGGAAAATTTCCAAATAACAATGTCTGGGAGCTGTCAACCTGAATTCACTCACAGAACTCTAACACTCTCTCTCTCTCTCTCTCTCTCTCTCTCTCTCTCTCTCTCTCTCTCTCTCTCTCTCTCTCTCTCCTTCTGTCTCTCTCTCTTCCTCTGTCTGCCTCATTTATCTTCCCTTCTCCCTCTTTCCTCTAAACAAAAACTAAAATAAAAATGCCCTTAGAGGTCTCAGAAATAAAGATATAAAAGTCATTAGTTTGTATCTCTCTAATTTAGAATTTGTCTGAAGTTTTCTGTTGGACTGACTATGGGGGGAAAGTTTGCCAAGCAAATGAATAGGATAAACAACGTGATATGGAATCTTTAAAACTATTTGAAAGATGTTACACGCAAGTATTTTTAGAATTATCAGGCAAATTTTAAAAATGTGTTAATTACGCCTGATTTTTCTCTGGTCATTGGAGTGTATCTCACAAATCTCTTGTTAGGTTCCACTGTAGGAGTGAGGAGTAAGTTGGCTAGAGCATTGTCCTTGAGGTTAAAACACTTCCTTTGAGTCCCACATCTAGCATGACCTTGGGCAACACTTTTGAGCCTCAGTTTCCTCATCAATACGATGGTGATAGTAATATCTCTCTCCAGTACCTCTCTCACAGGGGTGTGAAGCTCCAATGAGATGGCGTATATGACAATTCTCTGTAAACCTTATAAACTAAATAAATGTGAGCTATTTTTACTATTAGCTGCATGACCCTGAACAAGTCATTAGTCGCTTGCCCTCTTCTGAGAAGTGATATTTGCACTACCTCTGGTCCTTGTGAGAAGAGTGCTAAATAAATATAAGCTATTATTGGACACAAATCAGCTACTCATTGGTGTTATCATGCATATTTCAATTCAGCAATTTAATGAGTATATATTAAGTGCCCATTAAGTGCAAAGTTCTGTATCTTAAAAGAACTGCATTTAAAAAATAAAAATATCTAGAATTTAGACTTTTTTTTTTTTACAGACCCACACTGACATTCCTCTTATTATTTCAAAGTGGTGAGTAGCTCTGACAATACTTTCTATGCCAACATGGCATGGAAGTTTCAGGTTATAAATTCCCAGCATGTTGAGAAAACCATTTGGAACTCCTAAAGAAAGGTTTCCATCTGAGAACCAATTTTACAGGACAGAATGGGTACTAACCAGCTGGGATCCCAATCTCACGTTTCCCTTGCTCCAGCTTAAGTAGTACTAAAAACTTTTTTAGAAGTAGATGTAAAACCTCATGTTTACCAAAGAACAGGCAGAAGGAGGGTATATTGGTTTCTGACCTATTGGCTTTTGAACTAAACTAATGATTTCATGATCAAAAGTTGAAGACATGAAGTTAGAAACAATTTCTGTGAAAGGGGCATTTAACAAAAACATACAAACCTATAGGTAATACGTTGATCTGGGAAGCACCAAATTAGGACTGAGATAATCCTTCCATTCTCTCTGAAAAGAAGGTTTAGGTATGGGCATTCAGTACAATCAATGCAAGAGCCTAACAACCTAGGAGAATATTAGTGAACGTGGAATCTTACTTGGGGCCGTTGCTATTTCAAACAACATTAAAAGAGATATCGGCAATAGACAGAGGTATGAGATATTAACACATTCATGCATACTTGATGGAGATTTACCATATATGCTAACCCAAAATGCTTTCAAAATGAGTTGATACTTTGTAAAGTGTGTCTTGTTTGAAAGTAATTAAAATTGCCCAGGGACTTAATGAGGGCAGACAGAGGCTTCTCAAATGGTTTGTTTGAACCATAGATATTTCTCGATAACTAATCTTTGGAACACATCAGAGAAATTCATGTGCAAAATTCCAACATGGTCTCATTATCATGCAGACAGGTTATACAGCATGGCACCAGGGATGCAGAGCTGGTCTTTAAGTCTGGAAAACCTGGGTTCAGATCTTGCCTCAGACATACTCTAGCTCTGGCATGTTGGACAAATTGCTGCAGGTCTCCAGATCTCATCTGTAGAATGGGGGAGCTGGGCTGTAACCTCTAAAGTTCCCTTGATACTAAATCTATGAGCTTATCACCTATTCCTGTAAGCTAGGGGAGATCCAGGGAGGCATTCATATTTGGAGAGCACCAAGTTGATGAAACTGTGGGCACCTAGACAATGAATATATTGCACTACCCCAGAAATATGCCTCTATTATCAGCTACCACATTGGAGGTGACAGTTAGGTCACATAGATTACATAATTCCTTTGCATGCAAGAGTGCCGCTGAATAACATCGCATATCGCATCCACCCCTCAAGACAATAACAACAACAGTAGAAGATGCTTGTGTGTCGCCACAAATGCGGACATTGATTGGCATGTTTTGTCCTACACCTGGAGCCCAAGGCATCCACAAAGGCAGTATCATTACGTCATGGATGTTCCACTACAAGTTACTGAGGAATAGTAGGTTGGTTAGCCTACTGCAATGCTATTATAAAAACACCACAAGAATGGATGTGAGACAGCGTCAAGTTGGGGATGAAGAACCAGACTTGGAACCAAATGGGCAAGGACGGCCCTGGACAAGTCACTTAAGGTATAGATTTCTTTACTCCCAGGAAGGGAATTCCCTAGACCAATGAAATCACTGCTCAGGCCCCCATGCGAAGGCGCAGGTAGCAAGAATGGATACTGAATTCCTTGGTTTGCCAGTTACTTGCTTGATTATTTGGATATAACTCTTCCAGATGAGAATGCCTCGACCAACGAAGGATCCATCTGTTATGTTTTCCCCCTATTTTTCAAGGTGGGGGAGCATGAAGGGAAAGGGAAGAAATGCCAAAATGAATCTTGAGCATCGCACAATCAAATGAAGAGACCACCAAAATATTTAACAACCAATAGCGAGCTCCAGGTATGAGTTCAACCACGACTAAATTTGGCACTCAGACACCTCACCCAAAGGTGCGTGTCAATCATGGATAGGCGCTAGCTGACCTTGGCATTGGGTGACGTCTGCCTGGCACAGGAGCTGACCTTCAGGAGATGAGAATGTTGCCCAGTCTGACCTTCAGACTTGTGCATTGGTGGCAGGGCCATCCTTCCAGACCAGGTTCAAAGTCTACAGTGACAAGTGAAGCAAACCCTCTGATACTGCCTGGGACTGCGTGTTTTAAAGTGCTCACTGATGAATCTGTATGCAGGATTTCTTTCTCTTTTTTAAAGAATGCCGTTTCTGAAAACAAACCTTCAGTTTCAGAGTGTGATATCTACAGTCTGTTGCTTGAAAAAGATTTAGAGAAGCGTTTTCCTACACACACAAAATACAAGAGGTTGAGAGAGAAGGGGAGGAATTGCCAGGACAGAGGGAGGAGGGAAGAACAAGTCAAGATGGATGGGAGCTGGGTTTGGACGATTCTGGCCTATCAGTATTACAGAAGGGTGCTGGGAAGTAACTACCACCTAGTCATGAACAAAAAAGACACCCTTCTTTTGGGAGCTGCTTTCTCAGCAAACTAATGCTAAGGTAAACTAAACATGCTCAAGCTACCACATTACAGATATTTCGGTATTGACTCCTGTTATTTACAGGGAGAGATGGTGTTATATGACTATAACCGATGGTTTTGCATCTTGTGAAACTCTTTGAACCTGTGAAAAAACGGAAAGAAATCCTATCCACATTGGATTTGTCCACGACTGCATCCACAGAGCATCGTACACACTGCTAACGTATGATGCACTAAACTTTCTCTGAATGTTCCAGATGGGCATTCTACTAAGTCAAAAATTAGCCCTTCTATAGATGACTGCTGGCCCATAGTGAGTGCATTGTGTTAGCAGTTGATGTGATTAGGGGTCCATCTCTCCTCTTCAGTGGTTCCATGCCTCATGGAGAGTCTCCCAACCAACACCACATCCCCACCTTCTATCTTCATACCAAGTTTGCCTATTCTACATCCAGGTTGCCCTCTGCTTGGGCCAGTCATACAAATGGCGTCATCACTGTAGAGGAATGGCGCAGTCCCTGGATGGCAGCGTAAGGCCCCTGTTGAAAGTAGTGGTGGTATCTGGGCATGTGGAAGGAAGGGAACGTGGGACCACTCCCTGGCATGGAGGTAGCGATGGCAGATGGGGCAAGAGGCATCCCTAGGCGGCTGTATGGGGGCAGAGATCCCTGGATGGGGTGAGGAATGGATGTGGCAATGGAGGCAGTGCTGGTTCCCAGGGCGGTCAGAGACTGGGGGTGCTGGAATCCAGGAAAACTTGATGAAGAGGATACCCAGGAGCTGAGTGACAAATTGTCAGATGCAGTAAAAGCGGACCCTGGGGACAGAAAACAAGGCAGTTAACTGCAATATGTAAATCAAGGCCTGGATTACCCATGGCAATTACCTTAAACAACGTTACTGTTAAGTACATTTGAAGGGACTCACAAATAATGAAGTGTTTGGCTGAAAGTAGCTAGGGAGCAATGCCAGAGGATGCTTAGAAACAAGCACAGACTGAGATGGATTAATATTCTTGGGGAAAGGAGCACACTTTGAGGTCTGAGAAATGTAATCCAATTCAACAAACATTTATTGTGTGCCTACTTCAGGCAAGGACTGGCCATACAAAGACAAAAACAAAGCAGTCCCAGGCCTTAAGGCACGCATGTGTACAATATGTAATTACAAAGAATATACAAAGGGATTGTATTGATTAAATGGACAAATGTATCTCATGTGGATAGCCAGTGAACTTCCAGAGAGCGACTGAGTCATGGTGGAACTCTAAGCAGTGGACATTGATTGGCCTTCATCTTGACGGTAACGCCATGAGCAAATCCAAGAATTTGATTTGACCAGCCTGGTGCTAACGACCATAAACTTCACCTTCAACCAAGTAGCCCAGTGGCCAGAGTCATGGACATTCTCTAAAGTCTTACGAATGCACCCCTCTCAGTTAATAGCATGGAGGATTATAGGTTGTAAAGTTGGGAGGAGCCTCCGAGACCATCTGTGTAATCTAACCTCCTCATTTAAAGATGAGTAAACTGAGGTCCAGAGAGTTGAATCGCTTTGCTCAGAGTCATTCAAGTAGTGATGGGCAGTGCAATGAGTGTCTCTTGGACATCGTCTTATCGCATCTCAGCGTTGAAGGCCCTTGCACAATTAATTGGCTTGAAGTTCCAGTTGAGTTAAGATGTCATGATTGTCATATGGAAGCTATGTAAATAGAGCTTTTATGTACTGAGCAAAGGAGATCATACTCTCAGCATGCCCTGAACAACTGGGTCACTGTGGTCACTTCTGTTAGGTGGGGATGTTGGCAAATACGAATGTGCCCAAAATGGGGTGATCTGGAGGGTCAAGAGTCTAGAACACACATTCTATAACATGGGGATGTTTAGCTTAGGGGGAAAAAAGAAAAGAAAAATCTGACACAGGTTGGCCGTATGATCCTGGGCAAGTCACTCCCAGGCAGCTCCCTCAGACAATCAATGACAAGTGAATTACTCATCTGTTTCAGTGTTCTCTGTGATGATAAAATCATCCAAACCAAAAACAAAACAAAAAAGGAGCGCATGGTGAAAGGGTGGGGTGTGATGGCTCCTGGAGAATAGTGGGTAGCGTACGAGGCTAAGAGTCAGGAAGATCTGGGTTCAAATCCTGACCATGACAGTCACTAGCTCTGTGACCCTGGCAAGTCGTTTTATTCTGTCTAAGACTCAGTTTTCATAGGTACAAAAGAGGCCCATTCTGATTCCAAATATATGCTGCTATAGGCTGTCATGTTGAAGAAGCATTTTCTCTTTTCTGGATAACTCCAAAGAGGGGCCAGAACCAAAAAAATAGACAAAATTATAAGAAGGTAGATTTGGTTTGATATGAGGAAGAATTTCCTAACAATTAGAGCCATTCACAGATGCTCTCTTTGGAGGCAGTGAGTTACTCATCACTGGAAATGATCAAGAGGCGGCAAAATTTCTTCTAAGGGCTATGATAGAAAGGATTTCTTCTGTCCAGCTCTTCACGACCCCGTTTAGGACTGGCAAGGACACTGGAGTGGTTTGTCATTTCTAAGATACTTAGTGCAGTAATTATTATTCCTATTTTACGGGTGAGGAAACTGAGATTCAAAGAGGCTGAGTGATTTGTTCATGGTCCCCCAGGCAGTGTATGAGGCAGGATTTGAACACAGGTTCCCTGATTGAATGTCCAACACCCTATTCCACCTCTGTCCCTCTCACTTAAGGCTTATTCTTTGTGTCCTAGGGTGATGCTGTTCTGTTTTTGGCTATTGGCACCAGGAGCTGTACACCCTGGGGAAGTCCCTGAAATAAGCTTCTGGTATCTACTCGTATAGTATATACACTCAAGTAGGAGTGCTTTAGATATGAATGGTAGCAATCACCACCTTTGTTACCTTCCGCTCTGGCTCATCAGCTACAATTCTTTTTTTTTTTTCATAAAGCAAAAAGGGAAATGTCAGCCTCAAAGACTGGCTTTTCCATCACAGCGGGCTTAAGTGAACCCATGCACTGATTACAAAGTGTCTCCTTCCTCACCTTGGGGACAAGCCCATCCCCATCGGATCATCCCACCTCCTTAAGATCTTACCTCGATTTTGTGCTGTCTGGTTCTCATCTCCCAGGACATCCTCTTCTCCCCCGTAGGTACGAATAGGCGAGCGGGCATAGGAATGCTTCTGAATCAGACTCTCAACACTTTCCCTGTGTTGGAATAATGACAATAAGAATGTTGTTTAGGCATGTCCAACTCTTGGTGACCCTATGGACCGTGGAGTTTTCTTGGCAAAGATGCGGGAGAGGTTTACCATTTTCTTCTCCAGTAGATAAAGGCAAACAGAGGTGAAGTGACTTGCCCAAGATCACACAGCTTGTGTCTGAGGCCAGATTTGAACTCAGGTCTTCCTGACTCCAGACCCAATGCTCTAACCACTGAGCCATCTAGCTGCCCATTTTAATATAATAATAATAATACAATAACTAGCATTTGTGTAGTATCTATTATGTGTCAAGCACTATACAATCATTATCTTATTTGATCCTCGTAATAACCATGGGAGGTAGGTGTTGTTATTATCCCTATTTTACAGCTGAAGAAACTGAGGCAAACAGAGGTTAATTAACTTGCCCAAGGTCACACAGCTAGTAAGTGTCTAAGGCTGGATTAGAACTCAGGTCTTCCTAACTCCAGGCCCAGTGCTCTATCCACTGTGCTACCTAGCTGTCTCCAATGTAGCAGGAGCTGTAGCAGCAGGAGCAGCAGCAGCAACTGTTATGAATAGTTTGCAAAGGTTTTTCTGCAGTGATGATCTCATTTGAGCCTGAGTTCACCTTTACAACGAAGGTGCTATTATGATCTGCATTTGACAGATGGAAGTTCCTGGTGGGTAAACATATAAGCCCAGGCCATACAGCTAGTCAGTGTCAGAGGTGGGATTTGTGCCCAAATTTGCCTACTGCCAGGCCCAGCATCTCTCATGATGCCACATTACTGCTCAGTGAGTCACTAGAATACTGAAAATGGCTTAGTGACTAATGACAGGCTTGTAGATGCGTAAAAAGAGTTTTTAAAAATGTTTTCCCAGCTGGAGCAGAACTGGAAACTGAAGCCTAAAGAGACTAAGTGGCTTTCCCATCACCACACAGTGTCCCACCCTCCAAGAGCTGAGGTCCCAGGGAGATAAAGCAAATGGCTTGTCAAGGTCCCAGAGGTGAACATCAGAGTCCTATCTTCAGAGTCAATACTCTTTCCACTGTGTTATACTGCATCTTCAAATGCTTCATATACGATGGGGCTGGCTAGGTGGCAAAGTGGTTAAAGCGTTGAGTCTGGAGTCAGGAGGACCCGAGTTCAAATCCAGCCTCAAACACTTGACACTTATGAGCTCTGTTACCCTGGGCAAGTCACTTAAGCCCAATGACCTCTCCAAAAATAACTTGAATCAGGGAACTCCTGGTCCAGGAGTGTCAGAAGATGTGGAAGGGCCAATAGAGCGTAACTTTTAAGGAATTTGGGCAGGAAAGTTAAATGTAAGAGTGAAAATGCTGCCTGGATTTTTTTGGATATTAAAATCACACTAAGCCTATGAACCCAAGTGTGAAGCTAATTTGAAGAACTCTGTCACTTACACCCACCACAGGGTACCCTTCAATAGGGCTGGAAATTAGGACATGAGGTAAGTGTGAGCAATGTTGGTCAGACCATGGCTTTTATCACTGATTCCTTCCCCAGCGCTGACCGTGAGCCCGGATGCTAGAGAGACACAGTGACCTGTGACTATCCCCATTCATCACAATGATGACGCAGGCTGAGAGAACCAGGATTGATCCCTCGCAGCCACACCATCCATCTCTAGCCAGACTCAGCTGGTCCTGTGCATTCACTCTGCTGTCTCTCAACACCAATTACAAGCTAGTTCTTTCCACGCTCTACGTGGCTTCTTATCAACAGCGGGCTCCTCTAAAGACGCCAGCAGGTTGGCCAGTGCAGCGGTGCCACCTGCCTCCAGGAAGCCCTGGCTATGAGGGGAGAACAACAGAGAGCTGTGAGAAGCCCATGGCACTGCCCACCCAGCAGCTCTGGAAGGAAATGCCCCCGTGACACGCTTTTCACCTTTTCTCCATCGCTTAAGTCTAAACAATCCACAAAACCAAGCCTTGATTTGTAATCTGGCAGATTTCTGAGCCGTAAATGCCCCTGCTGAATATTTAACAATTGACCTGTGAGAACTGGTTAGAGCTGGTTCCCGCACACCCTGCCCTCCCCACGCTTCTGTTCTTCCAACTGTACTCAGTCAGTTGGGGTCAGTCTCTGCAGACCAAAATACCCTTCCCTGACTGCCATGCCCCTTCATGCTTGGCCTACATTTATTAGAATGTGCATTCTTTAAGGGCAGGGACTGTGCTGATGTTCTCCTGGCATGTAGTAAGCCCTTGAAAGCTTTGTTCATTCATTCATTCATTCATTCACTCATTCACTCATTCCTAGTTTTGTTTGTGTTCTTTTTTTTTCACAGAGATGTGAGAAAAATGCAGCAGAATTCAGTCAAATAATTCCTCTGCAAGAAGATTCAAGTCAATAAGAATATGAACTGATGCTTCTGTGGCACTTCACATATACTCCCTATAAGAGTTTCACAACAATCCTTTGAGGATATCATTATCTTCATTTTGTAGATGAGGAAACTGAGGCTGGGAGATGAATGATTTGTCCCAGGTCAGGCAGAATCAGATGAACTGGGTTCAAATCCCTTCTCTAACACTTACTTCAGGAGTGACCCTGGGCAAGTCACTTAACTTCTCAAAGCCTGATGAGCATCTGGCCAGATGGTCACGTCCCATCTATAATTCTCGAAGTTCTAGGGGCGTGATTTAAAACCAGGTCTTGCCTGACTCAATCCATTCCACAAGCTAACAGACTAGCTTGCGCTTGTGTGTTGACAAATTAATGTTATTTACCCGTCTGCCCTGACACTAACTGGCCGAGGCAAAAACACTCAGCTAAATTACCCACCAAAGGGCAGGTGTCCCAAATTGGACATTTCAGACAAGAACAGGAGTCTAACTAGTACAATAACATATATTCCCTATTTTTTAAAAGCCAAATTAGAAACCCAATAACCAAAAACAAACACACAAAAATAATTATGTAAGTAGACAATATAAGGGGAGGGACACCCCACATGAAACCCCAACCACATCATACTACGCATTTTAAGCAAAGCAAAGCTAAACAAAAGTTCTAACAATTTCACTGTGACTTATAACTTACCCATGATCTCATTCTGTCATGCACTTTTGTCAAATTGTTTGCCCAATTTTAATAAAGAGAGTAAACCTGTCAGTTGCAAGCACACACACACACACACACACACACACACACACACACACAAATTACCGGGTCTCAAAGACCATAATAAATTTGTAATTCCCACTCTATGTTACTACATTCCTTTTGCTCATTTCAGTAGCACCTGTGCTAAAACCGGAATGACGCAGAGATTAACGTGGCCCTGAATGAGGAAAACACACAGATTCTGGCACATGCCATACTTCTAGGATAGGAGCATGGCCAAAGGATTAAGATGATACAGAAAAGAGAGGAAAAGGAAGCTCAGATGAGGAGAGGGAACCAGCCATGCATGCCGATTTGGATCCAACTGTTCAAAACAACCTAGAACAGAAATGCACAGCTTCGGAAATAATCCTCCTTTTCTTGTTCTTTGTATGTTGGAATGCTCATATTTATTGTTTGTTAATTTCATAATAAGGAATAACATTAAAAAATTTACCAATGTACACTCTCATTAGCCATACTCTCAGGTTCTGGTTTCCCTATAGCCCCATCACCACTGAATTGAATTTTGTCATTTTTTTTTTTTGAAGTTTGCAGTCAATTTCATCTACGTAGAGTAGAATCTTAAAGTTGTCTTGATTTTCATTCCTATAATTACCAGGGAATTTAAGGATTTTTACATGATTTTGTGGAAGGTGATGCTGTATAGTGGTTAGAGAGTTGGCCTTGAAACCCAAAAGCTTCTGGCACGTTTTGGCTGCACAATTCACTTTACTCTCAATTCTCTGGGTAATTCTCTAAGACTATGAAGGTGCTGACCTGCATTGGTAGAAGAAGCTTCCTCACTTGGGAGTTCCTGTAAGAACACATACAGTCCCTATCCTTCAAAGGCTGTCTGGTCTATTTCTTTTGATTATTCTCCATTGGGAGAAATTAATTATAAATGTATCTGCATATATAAGTACATATATATCAGTTATTTATAGATTCTGAACATCTATCCATTAGTCAAAATATTTATTGCATTTTCTTCCCAATTGTTTAATTTCTTTTTGTTTTAAAGATACTGCTTTTTGCTGTGCAAAATCACTATCTTTGCATAATCAAGCCAATCTATTTTGTCCTTAGTGATTTCTTCCATTTGGTTGATTGATAAGAATGCTTCTCATCTCCCTAGTTGAGACGAATCTATTCCTCCTTTTCCTTCCAGTTTAAAAAAAAAGTTTTTATTTTATATTTAGATCATTGATCCAGTTAGAATTATCATGGTGGACAAGTAGAAATCCTTTCTATTTTTGTCCAAGCTGCTCCTCAGCTGTCGTGAGCTGCCCAGATCCAATAGGCCAAATGCAGCACAGCACAGTACAATCTTTCCAACAATTTTTATTGAATGTTGATCTGTTCCCTGATGCTTTTAGACAGGAGCTTATCAAACAATATTCATATCCACTGGGTTCTCTTTATAGGTGCTCTGCCCCACTTTTATGGATCCATTTCCCTATTTTTTACAGTACCAGACAGATTGTACGCTTACTTCTTTATAGCAGCTTTTAACATCTGGAAGGGCAGGACACCCCTCAAACCATTCCCTTTCTCATAGTTCTTAATGTTCTTACATATTTACTTTTCCATGTAAATTCTGCTGTGACTTTATCTAATTAGATGAAATAGTCTATTGGCATTTTGATTGCTATTGCATTAAATTTGTAAATTAGGTTGGAAAGTATTGGCATTTTTACTATATTTGCTAGATGTATCTGTGCACAGGAGAGATCTCCTCCATTTGTTTGTCTGGTTTTTCTTTCATTCCATCAGAATGGTTTTGAAATTGTCTTTATATATGTCTCTTGTGTAGCTTGAAGTAGAATAGTTCAGTGAGGAAAAGCCCTGGATTTGGAGGTAGAGAACC